CTCAAGCAACGAGTTTAATCTTAAGAAAATGACACATGGTCTGAAATGGGAAAATATTTGTCCAAGTTCCAGACCAAGTGTTATTCTCGAGTATAATTTCTCTTTTTAACAGTTGTGCATGAAAAGACATTTGAATTAAACTCACACAAAGAATCTTATTCTCTAGGGAATGACACATGGTCTGAAATGGGAAAACATTATACCAAAGGAAACGGTAACAGATGTCTTTTGATTTTGTTACCATCTACGTAATAACATAAATACATAAATATGAATAAATAAAAATCAAATAGATAGGACTACATGATTTTAGATGTACTGTTTAATAAAAGAGCAGAAGCGTTTTATCAGGATTTAAGAACACGAGGCGTAGCCAAGTGTTTTTAGACCAGATAAAACATGATCTGCGAGTTTATTGAACAGCTTAAAAAACTCATGATGTATGTTCTCATACTGTACTGAATTCTTTACGAAATGAACCAAGTTTGATAGAGAAAATCCAAGTTAAAGTTTATGCAAATGAAGAGGAATCCATATCAGATATCAAACCTCCTTCGTGGTYATGATTTCTATTGTGTTTCCTAGTTTGATTCTTAATGGTTGTAAAGATTGTAAAGTGCATTTATTTAGATCATATTTTTTAATGAATTTTGCGCTATAAAAGTAATGAAATTATTATCTAATTATTTATCTGAAATGAGAAAATATTACAGCCAAGCTAAAAGAAGTTTATTGATTATTTATTAGGCCTACCATCTTTCAAGGTTCATTGCTTTGGCCTCTTCCTCTGACGGAGGAAAGTGTGATTGTCTGAAGCATCCTTTATAGGCTTCACTTCCCGGCTCACAACTAGTCACCTCTTCTCCACTCTTCATCATCAACTACATAACAAATTGACACACAAAGCAAGTTATAAATTAGATTTCACATCATTGTTTAAGAGAATCAAGAGTGAAGAATGCAGCAGTAAATAAACTACATGTGGGTTCTTGGGGTGAATTCCTCCCATTCATGCTGAGGTAATCACTTAAAATTCAAGGACTATTCAAGGAGTATGCAAGGACCCAAAAACGAATTTTCAAGGAGAATTATGTTCAGGTAACTATGCCAAGGTTTTACATGGTGGTTGCACATGGCCGACTTTCAGATTTTCCAATCTTTCTGACTAGATCTATTTCAGAACCATGCAAATGATGATCGAAGCAGTTGAGTTTTCAAGGAGTTTCGCTAAAATCGTAAAATTCAAGAGCCTGAAGTGAGATGAGGTTTTACTCTCTGTACCATAATAGTTTTTAAAATTCTTTCATATTAAAATTTTTGATTCCTTAGAGAATACAGTAACAATAGTCATAATTAAAGAACAAAAGCAGTGTGAAAAGGATTATGGTCTAGAGACAGGGGTAAAACGTCATCTTGCTTCAGGCTTATTCAAGGAGTTTAAGGAGAAGCATGAACCCATGACATATGGCCTGAATACTGCTAAGCCATTAGGACTACTTGCCTTCCATGTATAGAGTCCAGGAGATCTCTTGAGGTCTGGCAGCTCTTTAGAAACATCAAGTAGTTCTACAGCACCTGAAGACAAGAAGTGTAAACAATATATTTTTGGGTTCTGTTGATTGGAGACTTCATTCAATACATTGTCAGTAAAGTCATTTCATCCACAGGGAAGACAGACTTTGAAGGCACGAAACCCCAAAGTGAAGTTATTTACCCTTATGGTTGGCATTGCCATCTCAGATTTGGCAAACCCTAAGGTCACTAGTGCTTTTAGGTATCTGCAGGTTACTAACCGTCACTATTCTTGAGCAACTGTGCAATAACTGCTTCATTTTCTACTGGATTCAGTGAACATGTTGAATAAACAATACGACCACCAACATCAAGCATCTCCACTGCTCTTGCTAAGATTCTCAACTGAATTCTAGAAAATAAATGAGTTATACTATTTAATACAAGTATGAAAAATCAATGACAATGGCAATGACAATGACACGATAATGACAATAACTGACAATGACAATGACAGGCAATGGCAATGGCAATGATAATGACAATGACAATGACAATGACAATGGAAAAAAAAATGATGACTAGATCTCTTTCAGAACCATGCAAGTAACAATCAAAACAGAAATTTAATGAATTTTTAAGGAGTTTCACTAGAATAGTAAAATTCAAGAGCTTTCGAAGTGCATTTGAAAACCTAAATTTAATTCAAGGAGTTTTCAAGGAGTTTTCAAGGAGTAGCACGAACCCTGGAAAAAGAAGCAAGTTCATTTATTTACTAACAAAGTACATTAATTGTTATTTGATGCTGGTTTTGTACACATGTTTGAATGGACTACTTCAACAATACCCCATGCATCTTTCGAGGGGGCAAAACAAGACAAAGATGATGGAGTTTTACGTGTTTGTCTTTAATGTGCCATCTTAAATTACCTTTAAATTTGTTCGTGACGTCATTAGTGTAACAAAACTTCATTTGTCCCCTGGATGCCCCATAATAACTGGTGATCCAAGATGGCTGCCGTATCATTAAAGTAGTCCATTAAACTCATTCAGTGTGTGACTGTGCAATAACATAGCAATACCTGTGCAGACTGAGTCCTGTCTGAGGTGTCCATTTGTTCCAGATGAGTGTATTTTTCCTCAGAGTTCCATCACCACTACAAATTTTAAAAAACGAAATAAGAAATATGAAAAGTGGAATGGGATAAGTAGGATGGAATAAAATAGAATAGGAATGGAATGAAATAGAATAAGAATGGAATGGAATGGAATGGAATAGAATAGAATAAGAATAGAATAAGAACAAGAACAAGAATAGAATAGGATAGAATAGAATAAGAACAAGAATAGAATAAGAATG